TGGGGCCCGCGGCTCTGGCCCGCGCCTGCTCCCCCATCAGCCCCGCGGGCACCGGCTTCCCCGCCCACGGGGGGCGCCATTGGGGGCAATCTCCAGAAAGCCCAGGTTTAGCTGATTTCCACCCAGGGCCTTACGTGGGGGCGCCCACAAGTCCGCACCCCGAGTCTACACTGTGTGGCCAGCACCTGAGTTTTGCTGGTGGGACGGGGTGCGTGGGGAGGCCACGGCCGGAGGAGCCGGGCTGGCGGGGGGGCGGGCGCACACAGGTGCACCCCCAGCCTGCTCCCGCCAGGGCTCCCAGGTCCTGCCAGAGCAGCAGCCTGAGGGTCTGGCACAGACTCACCTCCAGGGCCCGTCGCGGGCTGAGCCTCGCGCGGCGCCCGCAGAGCTGGCCAGGCCCCGGCCAAGGCTGCCCTCAGGACACTGGCCTCCCACCCAGAAGGCCGCTGGCCCTGCTCTGTGCCTGCACCGCGGGGGTTCAGGGGACCCTGAGGGGCCCGGACCGTAGGCCAGGCGGGGATGTGCGTGCCCGGAGCGAGCCAGCGGGCCTCCAGGCTTTGCTGAGCGGCGGCCCTGGGCACAGGGCCAGGCTTCGGGGCCCAGGCGAACGCCCCGAGGGCTTCCTGGAGTTGCCGCTCCCAGACACGGCCTTGTCCGCTGGACAGACAGCGCGGGCCCCTGCTCCACCCGGGCTGAGCCACAGGATGTGTGTCCCGTCGCCCACACCGGAGCCCAGGGGCCGGAGGCGCCGTCGCGGGCGGGGTGGGGGTGAGCGGGCGGCCCCCCCCCGCCCAGCGCCCTCTGCGGCCCACAGTGGTTGCCTGGCTGGATTGTGACACGGGGGTCAGCCTGCGGGCCTGCTGCCCGGCGGGGGAGGGGGCGAGGCTGGGCGGGATGGAGGGCTGTCGGGGGTCTGCCTGCTAGCCCTGCCCGAGGCGCCCGCGGACTGGACCCCGGTGCGCAGAGCGCCCGGCCTCGCGGTTCGTGCGCCCGGCGGTGCGGCCGGCCCGCGCAGCAGACATGTTCAACCCCCACACGCTGGACTCCCCGGCCGTGATCTTCGACAACGGGTCTGGGCTCTGCAAAGCAGGGCTGTCTGGGGAGATCGGACCCCGCCACGTCATCAGCTCCGTCGTGGGGCTCCCGAAATTCAAGTTGCCCCTGGCGGGGGCCCACCCGAAGCAGTACCTGGTGGGGGAGGACGCCCTGCACAGGCGCGAGGCGCTGCACCTGCGCCACCCCATCGAGCGCGGCCTCGTCACCAGCTGGGACGACGCGGAGAAGCTCTGGAAGCACCTGTTCGAGTGGGAGCTGGGCGTGAAGGCCAGCGACCGGCCGGTGCTCATGACCGAGCCCTCCCTGAACCCCAGGGCGGCCCGGGAGAAGATGGCCGAGGTGATGTTCGAGAGCTTCGGCGTGCCGGCCTTCTACCTGTCAGACCAGGCCGTGCTGGCCCTCTACGCCTCGGCCTGCGTCACGGGCCTGGTGGTGGACAGTGGGGACGGCGTCACCTGCACCGTCCCCATCTTCGAGGGCTACTCCCTGCCCCATGCGGTCACCAAGCTCTACATGGCGGGCAGGGACATCACGGAGCACCTGAGCCGGCTGATCCTGGCCAGCGGGCGGACCTTCTCGTGCGCGCTGGACAAGGCCCTGGTGGACGACATCAAGGAGAAGCTGTGCTACGTGGCGCTCGAGCCCGAGAAGGAGCTGTCCCGCAGGCCCGAGGAGCTGCTCAGGGAGCACAGGCTGCCCGACGGCAGCGTCGTCCACCTCGGGGACCAGCTCTACCAGGCGCCCGAGGCCCTGTTCTCGCCTGACCAGCTGGGCATCCAGAGCCCCGGCCTCCCCAAGATGGTCTCCTGCAGCATCACCAAGTGCGACGCCGACATCCAGAAGACGCTCTTTGGGGAGATCGTGCTGTCGGGGGGCACCACTCTGTTCCCAGGGCTGGACGACCGGCTGCTGAAGGAGCTGGAGCACCTGGCGGCCAAGGGGACCCCCATCAAGATCACCGCCCCCCCCGACCGGTGGTTCTCCACCTGGATCGGGGCCTCCATCGTCACCTCCCTGAGCAGCTTCAAGCAGATGTGGGTCACCTCCGCGGACTTCAAGGAGTTTGGCGCCTCCGTGGTTCAGAGAAGGTGCTTCTGAGGGTCCGCAGAG